GTCACCCCTCACACAGGGGCTGTCTTTGCTGCCCCCAGCTGTGAGTGATGGGCTCAGGCACCCCCTGCAGCCAGAGGCCTGGGCAGCAGCGTCCCTGAGCAGGAGCACCCTCTGAGTCACCGTGTTTTTCCTAGTTATGGCTTTCCTCCGAGTGGGGGCCGTGGCTGGGCCTTGTCACACGCCTCCCTTGCCTGCTCTGTTCCCATGCTCCGGGATAATAGTGATAATAGTAGTAATTACTATTACTTACAATAGTAATTTGGATGGTAGTGGTCAGTGTTATTTAGCAAGATTATAAAAGAAGATTAGCCTTGTTAATTTTGGTTTTTGGCTTCTGTAAGTTTCCATTAAAAATGTGGAAGTGCTATGCGATGCTTTTTTCAGGGACATAGTAAGTCGTCAAATTGGTAAATTTCAGTACTCTTGCCTCCTGGCTAACGGCCAGGAAGTCTAAAACCTAATTTTTTATTAAGGAACCGTAGTTAAAAATACCTGCATACGATTTTTTAATGTGACTAATTGTGGGTTTTTTTTTTCTTTCCTTCCAGCAATGCACCTCTTGCTTTTTCCTCCAAAGTATGTTATATTAAGTTTCGTGAAGCATCGAGTGTTGGTGTGGCCCAGCATCTCACTAACACGGTTTTTATTGACAGAGCTTTGATAGTTGTGCCCTGCGCAGAAGGTTGGTATTTTAGTCGTTATTCTGTAATGTTGGTCTTTGTCATGTCTGCTAATTGTTTTAAGCTTTCCGTGTAAGGAGGTGGTGCTCTGTTGTTATTTTATTTTACTGCTTTTGGGGTGGGGTTGGGGGGGGTGGGGGAAGTCTGAAACGAAATTGAAATTGAGCAAAGAAACCCAATTGTATAGATAATTCCCTTCAGTGTGGTGTATGTTGGCAAGCCTATTCTCAGAGGTCTCACTGAAGTCAATGGAGCACTGGAAAAATTAGGCAGTTTCCTGGCACCAATTACATTGCTGTTTGGGTCTTAATGTATCACCTTTGGTGTGTGGTGGGGTTTTCTGTTGTGGGTTTTTGGGTTGATTTTTTTTTTTTTTTAGATACCAGTTATTTTTCCAATTTTTTTTAGACTGAATCCCTATTTTATCTTGAAATGTGATATATGCACTTGCCCATTTTGGCTTCATCTAACCTAAAATATTTAGCATTCATGGTGATCATTACAGTTTGAATATGTATGTTTACCTGCTAGTTTAATGAAAAGAATTCAAATTTCCATTCTTGTTACTGTGGAAAATATTACTTTGTGTACCATAAGAAGCCTTTCTTACAAATACTGGTACTCTCTTTTTTGGTTTCCAGATACCTATTTAAAAATATAATGATCTGTACAGAACCCTTACAGCGTAAAATATTTTTAAAACTTTTAATAAAATGAAAAGCTTGGTTAATACTAAATTTACAAGTGTTCCTTTAACTACCTTTGAGGCCCTACTTTTGCAGATGTATTGAATACAAGGTAGTTCCTACTGTTAGTATAATATCCCAGAACTGCATACTGTTTCATGAAGCATGGCCCTACAGCAGGCATAGTGCTGGAGTTAAGCAGGGCCCCATTGACTTCATTGGGATCATTGTGGAACTGAGCATCTGCCCATTTGGTTCTGGACATTTTGCTTCTTTGGAGTGGAAAAATTCCAGCTGGTGGAGTGAACCTAACTTCGCTTAGAACATGGTAGCTGTTTTGCTACGAACAGCAGTATTTAGTCTGATTGAACTGCAGCAAGTCCAGAAATTCCTCCTATTAACCTAACTCTTCTAACTGCGAGAGCCAGGTTTTGGTTCAAAAAATACTATTGACCTCATGGAGTTTAACAGGGGTCCTAGAGTACCATTTTTGGCATGTTTGCCACATCATGGTCTGGATAGTATTAGTGCTGCTGTAATAATGGTCTGGGATGTTCCTAGCAAACTCTTGACAAGTCTCCAAAACTTCATAGACTCTCTTAAGTATTTTCATTTGAGGTTACATTGGCCTACAGTATGCTGCCTGTCCTTGTAGCCTTCTTAATACAGGCATATGGCACGTATGTTTGTCTCTGTGAACCTGGATTTTTGGTTGTTTTTACACCTTGTTTTGGGGACTTCTTGGTTTTATATTTTCAACTTCTTGATAAACCACAGAGAGGATATTGCTGCATCCACTTGAAGCTCTGTAGAGGCTAATGGGACCAGAGTCCTTATTACTGAAAAATTGCCCCTAAATAATTGACTAAAAATCATTCAGGATATCAGTTTTACGTTTCATCAAAAAATTCAGTACTGCCAGAAGGGAAGATTGCTGCCTAATGAATGAACAACACTTCCTGGTGGTTTTCTTGTGGTGAGATCACTGCCTGACGTGATGTGGCAACAGGCAGGTAAAGCTACATTTTCCTGTGTCTCTTGATGGTGGACGATGAATGGAAAGAGAATAAACCCAAAGTTCTGACAAATCCTTTCCCAATCCCATTTGTTGCTGACTTATTAGGCATTTCTGAGAAAACCTAGTACAGAAAAATTGTCACCCTTCAAAATCATTCTGGATTCTACAGAGATTTATGCATAATGAGGTGAAAAAGTGATTGGGTTGCAAGGACAAATTTTTTTTTTAATGTCAGAATGCTGTTTCCATGTAACTTGCTAACAGAATCACTGATTTTAATTTATAAAGATGTGAATTTATATAAGTTTAACTTTCCGACGAATTTAATGTGTGGAATAAGTATGGCTTTGGAGACTACAGCACAAGATTTTTGATTTTTGATATGTACCATATGACATGTTGTTAATGGAGTCAGTGGAGTGTATCACAGGCTTTAAAAGTAGTGATGGCTATATTCTCCAGGAGGTAAAATTATATCTTTGGCCAACGGTGCCAGTAATAAGACATTTCATGCACTGAGTTTTGGAAGACCAGAATAAAATGTGAAATTTGGAGTGTATTTAAACAGTGGTAAATCAGGGGAGCATGCGGAGGGTATCACCACACAATGAAAAAACAGTGTTAATTCTGTGACATTTAATAAGTAGTTTAAGAAAAATGCAGTTTTAAATGGAGTAACATTATTAAGCTGTCAAAGTACGGCACTTTTGTGTGTGTATCAGTAGCTTTTTTCTTTAAACATTGTACTTTGAGAACGCAAAGGTTGAAAGATAAACAAAGTTGCCACCCTAATCATTCTAAATTTTATGTCCACATTATCTGGTAGATGGATTTTGACTATTAATTTGGTTTTGTATGTTTTCTCTGTGTGATATTTGTGCATTATTAGATGACTAGACTGGCCAAGGCAGACCTGTTACACTTGCCTGAGTTAGGCATTGTTTGCCATGCCACTAAACCTGCCGCCAAGTGAAACCTTCATGGGGGAAATGAGATCGAAGTCTGGCCTGCTGAAGATGGACGCCCTGTCTCTGTTTTTATTTTATTTTGCTTTCTTTCCTTTGTTTCTTTTATTTTTATTTTGTCCTTTTTTTTGT